CCACTCTGTCTCTGGAGAAGCCTCTCACACCTCACATCTCTGGCCTGTACCCCAGTTCTTATATACACAAATAATAAATCTTTAAAAGAAAAACCCACAGCTGATATTTCTATTCAAGTACTGCCAGAATGAAATTAGGGTTTGTTTTCTTAAAAGCAAGCTTTATCATAGAGCCTAGTGTTTGTAGCCATTAGTGTTTATCTAAGGGGGGGCCTCCGGAAACTTGCGACACTGACACCCCACACCTGTCTCTAACGCACAGAAGATGAAAAGCAAGCACAGATGAAATCTTATGATTCCCACATCACTAGAACAACATTAAGCCTGGCACATAGAAGGTGTCGGTAAATGTCTTAAGGAGTGGGCTGGGGTTCAGGGGAACACTGAAGGGGCGGCCCACACATGTACACCCTGGTCTTTCTTCCTACGTTCTCCCTTTCTTCATTACCCTGCAATAAATCCCTACTGTGAATCTGCTATACACGGGATGGCAGAAGCCCAGGCCTGGCTTTGCTCGGCCCCAGAATTCCTCCCAGCCCTGATCTGCACTTCTTGGGGGTTCTCCCTTGGGGCAGACACTGTGTCTCCAACATGATGACAGCATGGTCCGCTTCAGCCCCTCCTGACGGGCCCAACGGTTGCGGGCCCCTCCACTAACTCCTTCCGGGGGCATAGCCAGAGCGCCAGGGCACTAGAGTCAATCCTGATGCACCCACTTTCCAGAATCAGTTGCCCAGGGGAGCGTCTCACTGATGATGGTCCCCGGAGAACCATACCTGCGTAGCCCTGTCCACACTGACTCTGGGCTTTCGGCTCAGGCCCACCTCGGCCACTGAGCCACAGAAGCAGGACTCAGCAGAGCGACTGGCTCTCCGGGGCTTGTCTGCTTGGCACGGGCCCTTGAACTCAGCCGCCGGCTGAGATGCCCAAGCCACCTGGACACAACCCACTCAAGGGCTCTGGTGACAGCTGCGGGGGGCAGCAGCACCCACTGCCACCGGTGAGTCACCCATGTGTCAAGCCCCAGCAACGTAGAGCAGCAGCGCCACCCTAGGGGACACCCCCAAATCACGAGCCATCGTAAATGGCTGTGACTTCAAGTCCCTACATCTTGGGGTGTTTTGTTCACAGCAACGGCTAGCTAGCCAAGACCCCAGAAAGAACACTCCTCAGGACTCCTGAACACACTCCAGCTCCAGACACAGCTGTCCTCAGCCTGAGACACAGCATGGCCGAGGCCCAGGAGCACCCTGGGGGTGTGGGCGGGTGTCACCCAGGTCAGAAGGCCAGCTCTAGCTAGCCTCCCTAGACCCATCCTGAGCTCCCCTGTCTAGGACACTTGGGGGGCACTCAGGCCAGGAGTCATCTAATCACCTTCTAGAGACTTCTCTTTTAGTCCAGAACTCAGAAAGCACAGTGACTGGTTGGATAGCAAAGCCAAAGAGTATCTAGACCAGAGCAAGCTACAGCACTTACATGCCACTATAACCCGGAACTCAAGGTTTCTCAAAGACACCCTGCAGGGCGCCCCTGGCCATGGCGTCCTGGGGTGCAAACAGGCTTTGCTCTTCCAGTTCTACTGGCTTATCACCAACCACCTGATGGTAACTGAAAATAGGTTGAGGCCTATTTAATGTTCAGGCCCCCACTCCCAGTTGCAAGAGAAGCAGAGATGTTACCTTGCCTGACGTCTTCACTCCTTTCCAGAGGCTGAAGAACAGGATGACCAC